TTACACATGGAAAGGTCTTCAAGAGAATGTTCCCAGAGCCTTTGATTCTATACCATTGAAACAAATTAGAAAATATGTAAGAAGGGCTGCAAAATTTATGGACTGTTACAGGAAAGGCTTAACAGTGTTACAGGCTGAATATATTCTAAAAAAATATTAGTCTCATAGAAAGATTCCAGATAATGTTGTAGAGGAAATTGATGAATTAATATAAATGCATTTTTTGGAAAATCACGTGATAAAAATTAAAAATGTCATTTTTGTATATAATGAAAGTGATAAAAAAAAATTTTGCTTTTATTTTGAATTGAAACATTTTGCACAGAATTTGATGTGTTAAAGTGATCCGCACCGTACCTTGGGCAACATCATTTGTAAATTTTACTGTAAAAGGATGCAATTTCCAAGTGAATTTAGTGAAGAAATAAAGAAACTTCTTGCATTTTGGCATGATATTATCCTCGAAAGACATAAAGATGATGATGACGAAGTTTTTTGCAGTGACCCTTTGTTAATAATTGAGTACAATCAATCGGGTCTTAATAATCTACCTAAGATTATAGTTATTAACATGAACTGAAAAAGAATTAAGGAAAAAGATATTAATATGTTGATTATTAAATAACTATAAAAGGTGAACAGGAACATAGATACAAAGTTGATTCTTGTCAGTTTTGATAAAGTAATGTCTGTATGATCAATATACAGAAAGGATTTATGATAAATTGTGTCACGGCAAATAGACTTGTCTCTGATATGTAATAACGATGTAATGATGGTGGAAATTACAGATAATCCAAAAAAAGCATCTACGTGAGCAGGAATTTGTGATCTTTGATTTTACTAAGCTAGATTAGGATGGATATCTCCCCACTTTCGATTTATATATAAAAAGTATTGTAAAATTACTATTGAGTAAAGCATGATTTCATGATTCAAGTTTTCTTTCTGCCTCTTGCAATTCTATCTTCTTCTCTTCAACCGGGAAAACTAAAGAATGTAACAAGTATAATTTGACAAGATACTCTGACAGGTTCTATGGAGGTTGCATCAGTTTACAATTACAGAGTCTTTTAGCCACCTGAACATCTGGAAATAACATAGTTGATACCTTTATTATTCAACAATGTCAAAATGAAACCATCTTTACCAAGTTGTGTTTAGAATGAATCTGCATTTACCATTAAGCTTCCGATTTCATTTCGATCAAAATAGTGATATTAATTGAACGCGCGAGTAGATCAGGTTTATTGATCATCGTTAAAAGTTTAAAAAGCCTTTTAGAGCAATGTTTAATATTTGTCAACTTCTTCGGATATTTATTGTCCCTTTTCTTTATTTTTCTCTTCTGGGAATTACTTTTTATAATTCTTGATAAAAGATATTATATATATATATGTATATATACTGTATATATGAATAGCAAAAAAGTGTCAAGTGGGTTTAATTTTTGCGCAAAAAAATAGAAATAACGCTTTCTCCATTTTTACTGGTTTACTTCCAATGCACCTGCTATTGCTTTATCACCGACTTTCTTGGTTATGAATGGGCATGGATGGGTCAAAAGCTTTCTTAACTTATTACAAAGAAAGTTCACATATTTTTGGAACTATTGTTGTTATTATTATTCAATTTGCACCAAGTATTTCAATGTTTGTAGATTTTCTTTTGTCTATGGGTTAATTGGACTTTGATCGATGTATCCATCTCGAGTGTTTTTATTTTTATTAATAAATTGATTTACGTTACATCATCCTAATCTTAATATTGCATCTCGGAAATCACTATTACTGGTTAGAACCAATTTATCGCGTGTGTGTATATAATGCTTCTGGTCGTCAAAGTTCTTTCAAATTTAATAACTTCTATAATAAAAATAAAAATATCTTCAAAAACGATCAAAAAGAGTCCACAAAAAACACCAGAGCCAATAGATCATGTGACCAATCAAGCTTCTTCAGCTCTAGGAGGTGTAGGTTCAAAATCCTTCAATTGAACAACAAGAAAGAGATAATGTTGTTCATTGTCCCACAATTTGGTAGTACGCTCTTGAGGGTATAGGCGTCGTAATAATAATCCTACTACTAATATTAACACTTGATAATTATTATTTTTATTTGCCATTATCATTTTATCGTTATTATTTTTATTAATAATCATATTCATGAATTATAATAGATTATTAGAAGATAAAAAACGAGGGAATGATCGTCAGAGCTGTTGATACTGTGAAGGTATTATTTATTTTATTTTTTATTTATCTTATATTTATTTATACTTGAAAAAATATCTAAACTTATAATTTAGGAAACTGTCTTTGGTAAATAATTAATTGGGCTGGAATGAACAAATTTATTTTTATTTTTATCAACATTTAATACTAATAACATTTAGTTATGATAAATAAAAACATTGTCTTTCAAGACTTTCTTGTCAATTTGTGTTTCCAATTAATATTTGTTATTTATTTATAAATAGAGATGAATTCTATTTTCCTTATTGTAATATTAATATTTATTTATTTAAATAGAAATAATTTGTATTATTAATAATAATAGTAAACACAATAATCATCCCAGAGTAAATAATTGCAACAACAATGAATAATCGTAAAATTATAAACTTTCTAAATTTAAAATCTCTTTTGAATGAATTTACTTTGTCTTGATTTTCTAACTTCTTGAAGCCGTCATGTTGTATGAATCCTTCGCCTGATATCAATCGAATATTGCTTAACAATAAAACACACCAACCTTCAAAAGAGTCATAGGTGATGTATAAATTGTAATTGATCAATCACAGAAAAAATATTTCATAAGAATTAATTTCTTTGACAGCTAGACCAGTTATTTTTGACCAAGCTTTGTTGGAGTGATCACGATCTTGAAGATATTTTGATGAAATTATCAACGAGATTAAAAAATATTCTTCTACAACAAAGTATCGTTATTATAGGCGTGCATGAAGATGCTGTTGGAGGTATTTTATGAATCTGTTCTTTTAATATTTCAATCTTTGGCCTAATTCTAAATAAGTAAAATAATGCAGTTTGAAGGGTTGAACATGAAGAAGTTCTTGATCTTCTTAAAATTTCTTCCAAAAAGGTTTTTAAAGACAATCAATTTGATTTTGTATTGTCACAATCAGGCCAAATCACCTCTAATATTAAACGACTCCCATCTGGATAATTTATGAATGTATGTAAGTACGCATAAATATATTCGATTTATAATAAAATAATTCCAATAATTATTCACTTACCAATCAAATTTTCAACAAATGCGGCTTTATTATTTTTTCATTTACTAATTTCAAGTCTGTTAATGTTGACGGCAATGGTATATAGCCATCTATCTATTTATAAGTTGATGTAACCATGAGGCTACACAAACATATGGTGATTTTATTAAAAAGATCAATCAATTTGATTGATTATCCTGTTTAGTTTTCTTAATTTTCTATAAATAATAAACAATATACAAATCTGAAATGAGCAATTTTCATAAAGAACCTCACGAAATCGGTTTGCAAACTGATCCCGATCCAACTGACGTTGCTATAATTTCACTTTTACAAAAAAAATACTCGTTCAGTGTTTCTTCTTTTCCAACTTTAGGAAATGATAAACTGAATGAAATATTGAAAATTTCTTCTGGTAATTATTCAAATGGCAGCAACCTTCAAAATTCAAAACAATCATCGTCGTCACCCTTACTAATTAATGGTACAAAAACAACAACAACAACAATAACAACACCATTATTACACAATCCTCTAGCAACTACTAATGAGATTGATAAAACATTAAATAGCGCATCACAAAAGAATCTTATTGAATCATCAAGTTCAGCCACAACAAATAAATTGATATACGTTCCTCCTCAACAACGCGTTAATAATCACAAAGACCATACTGATGAATCTGATTCATTTTTTAAACAGCCTGTAAAAGAGAAATCATTGTATAAAATTCCACAAAGATCAACATCATATAAAGAAGAAAATCATTCAACTACCACTAATAAAGGTTCTTGGGATAGTATTCCACCACAGCAATCAACTAAAAATGATGATTGTATCACGTCTGCTTCATCACCACAACAACAATCAACTAATAAAAACGCTTGGGATACCGTTCCACAGCAATCTACTAATAAAGGTGGTGGTTGGGATGTTGTTCCACCACAGAAGCCAATTAAAAATGATGATTGGATCACGTCTGCTCCACCACCACAACAATCGGTCAAAAAAAATGATTGGGACACATTTGCTTCTTCGCCACCACCACAACCGGCCAAAAAAGATGATTGGAACACATTTGCTTCGTCGCTACCACCACCACCACAACAATCATCACTTAAAGTAGATAGTTGGGGCACAAATGCTCAACAACAACAATCAACTGATCAATTAACTAATAAAGGTGGACCTACTTGGAATGTTGCTACACCATCATCAACTAACATAGATGATCGGAGGGATACTGCACCACAGCAATCAAATATACAAACACCATGGGGCACCACTACTACTGACACATCATCAGGTGTAGTAGCAGATAATTCAAACAACAGAAATTCTTGGTTGAAACAAGCAGCTGCATTTGAGGAAGAACTTGGCACAAAAAATACTACTGATAATGAAAATACCGCAAAACCACCAAGAGACAATTATAATGAAGGTTATTCAAATAATAATAATGGATACGAATACCAGAATTATGGCAAAAGAGGTTTGTACAAGTTGCAATATACGTGTTTGATTAAGTATAAGATTACATCTTATCATTAAAAATTATTTTTATTTTTATTATTATTTTTTTTTCTGAATTTTAGATGATAGAAACAATTATTCTAATGATTTCAGAAATAAAAGTAAAGGTGATATGGCATGGTACAGTTAATTCCTGTTTGGTTTTATTAAAATTGATTAATTTCTATATTTTATTAAACAGATATGTAGGTTTTTAATTTGAAAAATTTTTTTTTTAATATTAAAAGTTATAAATGCAATGAAACTGGTCATAGAGCATTTGAATGTCCCAATGATTCAACTATGAAGATATCTGAAGAGGAAGCATGGGAAAAGATGATGAAAGCTGATGCAGAGAAAAACATTGAAGATTTTAAGGAGATGTTTGAACATTATTCCAAAGCAGCAGCCAGTGAAACTTTTCAGACAATTGAGACCAAATTAAGAAAAGCTGGATGCAATACAAAAATAATAGCTTTGGAACGAGAGGCAATACCTTTGAGAAAATGTTTGATTGATCTTCAAGGAAATAAAGAAAAAAAATACTTGGCTATTTTAACTATGACAGATCCAAACAAGCTTCCAAAATCTTCAGGAAATAGAGCTGTAGATGCGGAAGAAAATTTTAGGTGGCTTGCAGATTCGGGTTTTATGAAAGATGATTTTTCTTTACCAGTATGCTTCAATTGTAAACAAAAAGGTCACCTTTCAAAAGATTGTTCCGAACCAAAAAAAGAATACAAACGTACATATTTGGCATGCCAAAATTGTGATTCTACTGAACATATTACTAAATATTGTAAAGAAGAACGTCGTGATTATGAAAGTCGAAGAGGTGGTGATCGTGGTAGACAATCAGGTGGTAGAGAATGTTATAAATGTGGTTCATCTGATCATCTTGCTCGTGAATGTAATAATAACGACGGTGGCGGTGGAACAGGAGGAGGGTATGGTGATTATGGTGGTGGCGATTATGGTGGTAGTGGCGGTGGTGATTATAACAGTGGCGGTGGTGGCGGTGGTTTTAGAAGTGGTTTTGATACTTCAAACGATTTTACTTCATCTGCTACTAATATCAATGGTGAGGACGATTGGAAAAAAGCAGCTGAATCAGCAAAATCTAATTGGGGCGTGGTCGAGAATCCTGTTGAAGGGAAATCAACTGGCGGAGGCGAAATTGCTTTTGTCACTCAATCTGATTCCACTTCTACATGGAACAATAATAATACTTCTCATGGTGGTTATCGAAACAATACTGGTAATGATGCCGTACCAAGGTGGTAGAAACGAACTAGTAATAATTAATAATAGTGCTATTGATTTGACAATTAAAATAATTTAATTTGATAATTAAAATAATAATTTAATATTATGCTTCTTTAAATTTTTAAAATAATAATATTGTCAATTAAAGTTTGCTATTATAAAATATATTGTATACAATAATAAAAAAAAGAACCAAACATTTTTTTTATTAATAAATAATCTCAAGAAAAGAAATATTTTTTTAATAAATATTTACATCACAAATTCATACATATAATTATATAAATATTAATAATAATAATATTGAAATTAAATTTTTCGTAAAAACCCCTCCCTGTTAAATAAATAATAAAATAAACATTTGAATTTAAAAATTAAATTAAGTTAGAAAAAATAAAATAAATATACAGTACTCTTCTTTTTTTTCTTATTACTCCAAAAGTCCAAAATATTAATGATGATAATATTATTATTTATTAATTAATATATATAATATAAAGTTTATCGTTGAATGTTTTTTCCTTTAACAACCGAATCAATTTCTTCCTGTGTGAGTGTTTCATAATCCATTAAGGCTTTTGCTAGACGATGTAATTCGTCTTTATGTGTTCTTAAAATATTAGTTGCACGTGCTTGGGCATTCTAATAATAATATCAGTAGTAAATATTTAAATCGGTAAATTCATTTTAAATGGAAGGGTGAGAAAGTTCCAATATAATAATATTATTATATTTATTATTATTTAGATCTTACCTCAACTAAAGATTTGATTTCACTTTCGATGACTAATTTAGTTTTAGTGCTTAAATTTTCCATGTCTTCATCTGAATGAGCAACAGGTCCTACCTTGTCACTCATACCAAATGTCCTTACCATATTTTTAGCAATTTCAGTTGCCTTCATAATATCGTTATGAGATCCTGATGTCACATTTTCTTTACCAAAAATTAATTCTTCTGCAACACGTCCTGCCATACACACATCAACCATTGCTAAATATTCTTTTTTAGTATATGAATCTCTATCAATTTCAGGAAGTTGCACTGTCTGTTTGTTTTTTTTTTTAAAGGAATAGATAAATTTTTTCTTAGTAAATAATACACATAATTGATAAATAAATTAAATTCAATTGCAAAATTTTTTAATAGTACACTTACCATACCAAGAGCAGAACCACGAGGCATGATTGTAGCCTTGTGTAATGGTAATGCTCCAGGTGTATATAATGCCACTAAAGTATGCCCACCCTCATGATAGGCAGTTACCCGTTTACTTTCATCTGTAATTACAGCAGATTTACGTTCTGCTCCCATAATTATTTTGTCTTTAGCGTATTCCATGTGTCGCATTGAAACCTCTTGAGCTCCATCACGTGAAGCTTGAATGGCTGCTTGATTAATCAAATTTGCTAAATCTGCACCTGAAAATCCAGGGGTTCCCCGTGCAACTACACTAATATCTACATCTTTTATAAACAAAATTATAAGTGTAAATGTAAGATTATCACAAATGAAACAATATATATATATTTATGAACATTTCATACCATGTGAAATTTGGACGCTTTGTAAATGATGTGATAAAATTTGCATTCTACCACGAACGTCAGGAAGTGGCACTGCAACATGTCTATCGAAACGACCGGGACGAATTAATGCTTTATCTAAAAGTTCTGGAAAGTTAGTAGCTGCGATAAAAATTACACCTTCAGTTTGTGAAAATCTTTTTTTTTTTTTTGATACAAAATAAAAATCATTAGTTTCGTGTCAATCAATTATCTACTGATTAAATAAAAAATAAATAACATGTGAATAGAATTAAAAACATACAAACCCATCCAAATCAACCAACAATTGATTAAGGGTCTGTTTCATATATGTTTGATCCTTTGGATTACGTTTTGAACCAATTGCATCCAACTCATCGATAAAAACTATACTAGGAGCTTTACGTTTAGCGGCAGCTTTATTTTAGGTTTGTTTATATATTTATTTATGAATTAATGAGTATATTTATAATTTAAAGAAATCATGAAATAAATAATTATATAAATTAAATAATAAAAAGGTTGGTCAACTCACCAAAAAGTTCTCTAACTCTTCTTGCACCAACACCGACATACATTTCATCAAATTCAGAGCCTGACATGAAAAAGAAAGGGACGCCTGCTTCACCCGCAACAGCACGTGCAAGCAACGTTTTCCCTGTACCTGGTGGACCAGTAAGAAGGACACCTTTTGGAAGTTTACCACCTAAATTAGTGAATTTTGATGGATCTTTCAAAAATTCAACCAGCTCTTCCAATTCTTCTTTAGCTTCGTCTACACCATGTACATCAGAAAATTTCACTATCTGCTGAGATGATGGCTCGTATTCCGATTGTGACCCACCAGTCTTTAATAAACCCGAATTTTCCATAGCAATACTTAAGAATGTAAATATGCAGAATGCATAAGTCAATGTAATTCCCAACCAACGTAAAGCACGCCAAAATATATATCCTCGGGCTTAGATTATTAAAAAAAAATAATAGATATATTTTTCTTATTATTAGCTTTAATAATTGAACATAATCCATTCACTAATATATAAATACATTAAAATGATAAATCAAATTTACCTTCATCAACTACAACATAAATTGGATTTTCTTTATTGCCTACATTTGATGTATTTATTGTTGTAGGTCCATTTTCAACATTCACTTTTTTTCCTTGACCTTTAAGAATATTTTGTACTAAATCAGCTGTTGAAAATTTTAAACCTTTGAATCGAATAAACCAATAATTATAGGTGACAGATAACAATATATGTTAATGTTAATAATAATATTTTTTTAAAATGAAATAATATGTATCCCTCAAACATGTCAATCAAAGTTGACATCTAATTAATTACCTCCTTCTATATTAAGCTGTTCTAATTTTTCCACTATTTTTGGCAAAATTTTATCACTTTGCCCGACTCTTGCCAATGCAATTACATACGCCTGTAAACATTCCTCGTCGTGTGCATACCTCCCACGTTCAAACCGAGCTATAACTGCATTAGGATGATTTGCCTTTAATAATTCCTAAAATAATAATAATAATAATAACAATAAATTACATTTTTGATTCCAAAAAATAGATATAGCTTATATATCTGTAATGAATTAATTACTTTATAAAATTCTGCTTGTTTTGCTGAATCATTGGGGGATGCATTAGCTTCAGTTTCTATTAGTTGTAATCTTCGCTGATTAATATATCGGATAGCAGAAGAATTTGATCCAAAAAATCGACGACTATTTAGAAAATTTTGAATTGAGAATCCTAAAGTAAGTTAGTCAAAATATAAATATATAAGTTATAAAATTATTATATATTTCTTCTATTTATCTTATTCTTACTTATATATAAATGTTTTTTAACAAGTTTATTATCATTCTATTCGATCACGTATAAATTTCAATATACCTTGTTTATTTGTTGGATTAAATAATAACATCCTTGAACTATACGTTGCTCTTGATAATCTAAAAGTATTAAATGGTGACAAATTAGATAACTCCCCTAAAAAAAGATGTGGGCATATGTATTAATATCAAGATTTTTTTTTTAATAAAAAAATAAACGACGAAAGAATATTATATAGACCCGAAAATTGAGATAATAAAGTTTGAGCTTGAGGGGTTTGACATGATGGAAGTTTTTTTAGAGTCGATATAGAATATGCTAGAGCTTCTGTTGATAAAGATTGAAGATTCTGGCTCTCTCTTAAACATTCAGGAAGATCGCGTACCTTTTTTTAAAAATTAAAGTACGTTAATTAAAAAAACATGATATTATTTTTTCTAGAAATAATTTAAAAAATATATTAACCTGCAACACAGATCTTTGAAGAAATGATGTTGAAGGAGCTGGTTTATTTTTTGAGGAGACTGTTGATGGAGTAACTTTTACAGATTGAAGTATCAGAGAAGCTTCAGATAATAAAGCATTTAACTAAGTAATACAGAGTGCCAAACTTTAGTTTTTTTTTTATGTCAAACAGGAGGCAATTGAAGTTTAATTTTACCTGCTGAGACAGAGATGCTGTGAAATGAGCTTGCATTGGAATTAATTATTAAGTTAAGCTCTATTCTGTATATATATGTGTGTATGTGATCTTTATAAAATCAGATGGTAAAAAAGAAGAAAATAAATAGATCAAAGAAAAGATTTATTTTGCTTAATATTTTGTCTAATTCTATGTTGTAAGAATCCCAAAAATTGGTTGATCTAAATAAACAACTTTTGATGAAATTTCTTCAAAGAAAACATGTGACACAATCATTTAGGATGTGTCATTTAAAATATTTTTTCATTGATGTTGTTAAAATGTAATAATTTATGCAATTTTCTAGACAGATACATTGGAAGTTTGATAAATTTTATAAGAAATAAAAATGAATCTAATTTTTTTCTTTACATTATTTTATTACCATGACCAATCAAATTTAAAGATGGTAAAATTCTTAAAGTTGAAATAGCATTCATTGTCTGGTAAATACGCAGGCAAAAAGATGGCGATTGTAAAAACTTTGAAGATATATGGAAGATTCCTATGATCATTCCATAGTGGTTGGAATAGAAATATCCATTAGAAGTGATAAACATATTGGAATTAAATGTATTGCTAAATGTCTAAAGTTAAATCTTTCATAAAAAACATCAAATATAATCATTTAATGCCAACTATATATATATTTGAATTGGAAGAATGGTTCAAAGAACCAAGTCAATGATTATCGACTAAAAAGATTTTAGAAAAAATTTTATGAATAAGATGTAAATCAGTAAAAGTAAAAAAGTAAATAGATTTTTACTTAATTGAGATTTTGATTGCAAGATGGTCAACATATCTCATAGTACAGCTAGTTGTAATGGCTCTTTCTATAACAGTTTCACTTTATAACAAACTGAGAACTTAGGCCTATTAAAATTATCTCATATACTGCCTATAATGGTCTCCTATAATGAATTTTTTGTTGAAACAGAAGGGCCGCTATAGAAAGTGAACTGTAATCAGCAGAGGAAAATTGCCACAAATAGCCAACTGTCACCTTTACATGAAAAGTTGTACTATACTTTTGCCCTGCTATGTCGCTTTTTTTTTATGTTTGCGGATAGGAAAAAACAAAGATTATCAATATATGGTTGTTTTTCTTTGATTGTATTCAAAAAAAAATTATTTACTTTGGGGGATGTTACAATTGCTCTTTCTGCAGCAAGTTCTCTCATTCATAGACGGATTCTCAAATCATTATCAAGTTCTCCTTTCATTACTTTTATATATGTTTATTTCATCCTTATATCAGCAACATTTGAATACAGTAGAATTATACATTAGAAATGCCATTGTGAGAGTATTAGAAGAATCAGGTTTCTTTAAAGCGATCTTTGAATAATTTTGAGCTGTAATATTTTCTTATTGGAAAATTTTTTTTTCATAATATTGTAATCAGAAAACAGTTTTACCAGATTGAACAAAGTTGAATATATTCTGCAAAATAAGAAGCACACTAGCAACTAATAATAATGAATATTATATGTTTATATAAAAACATACATACATATAATATGTATGTTGTAAATACCTTCACATCCTTCATTTAACTGTTGAATTTGTAAAGCTGATTGATCAAAATATTATTCTTCATCTTTAATAAATTTTTGATTTTCTTGAATCCTAATATTAATTAGTAGTAGGAAGATATTGTGTTTGTTATCGTTGCATTATTGTCATTAGCATTGGTAATTATTAGTACAGCACCTGTTGAGAAAGTTGTTGAAAAGTTTTGTGTGTTTTTATTAAATGAATATCATGTGACCAATATAAACTGAACTTGAAAATGAAGTTAAAATATATGGGTATATATTAACATTGATATACTCTAGTTATGCGATTGGAATAATCTTTGTCATAGGAACAATAATAGTTGGAAAGAATAGCAAAGTTAACTTTGGAATCTCCAAAGAAACAAAATTGATTGCAAGATATCTCAATAATTCAATTAGTTACCTTGATATAAATAGACTATATAGAATGCATATAAGAAATGTTAAAGACATTTGTTGATAATTTGTGCAAATTGAAATTCAAATTTTAATGGTATATAAACTTGATGTACTAAGAGGATATTTTATTTATAATAATGTAAAAATTTATTAATAAGATTATACATAATGTATATAATATAATTTTATTTCCTATTATTGCGATGACAACCTCTACTACCTAATAGTAGATTCTTGAAACTGCACTTCACTCTGTTCAAAACCCGAACTTTCTTCCTCCAAAAATCCTTTTCCTTGACAGCCTTTTGTAGATCAATTAACCAATGCAACAACGTGCTTCTGCAAGGAAATATTATATCTCTAGATCCCATGACTGCAATAGAAGCACCACTCATATAATTGCAGATAGTTGGATATGGTCTATCAGTCTATTAAACAATGACATTTATATATAGTATTTTCATGAAATACATGTTAAATTACAAGTAGAAGCATGCTTTGACATTATTATATCACATACAAATTCGATGGGGACCCAACTTTTCTCCAGCTTTTAGATTACATAATTAAGAGAGCACCCTAATGAAAATCATTTAAAACAAAGGTCACACTAATGATAATCATAAAATTTTTATACAAAATGAATATAAGACAAGCAACGGTATTTTACTTTAATTTTTACCATAATAACAATGTCAATCGATTGAATTAATAATAACAATAATGTATATATAATAAAGGTGGAGGATTTGCTTGCAATGCAAAATTGTAATATTATGAATCTTCCTGAAAATTATCAAATGAAATATTGTAAGTTATTTTGAAGAATCAATTGTTTGAAATATATATGTACAATAAATATATAAATATATGCCTTTATAGATTTTTATCACGCATTATCTTGGCCACAACTTTCATTTGTGGCAGAAGATCATAAAGGAAGAATAGTAGGTTATGTACTAGCAAAGATGTAATTATTATTATTATTTCTGGTTGATATAAGAAGCAGCGGGATAAAATAAGTTTTAATAATATATATATATACAATGATCATTATAAATAGGGAAGAAGACCCAGAGGAACTACCACCTCATGGTCATATAACTTCACTTTCAGTCATGAGAACATATAGAAGATTAGGAATTGCAGAAAAATTAATGACACAAGCTCGTAAGTTTTAATTTATTTTATTATAATAATAAAATATTTATATTAACAATTTTTTTATTTAAAAGAAAAAAATATGGTGGAGGTTTTTAATGCACAGTATGTTTCATTACATGTAAGAAAAAGTAATCGAGCAGCTCTAAATTTGTATAAAGATACATTAAAATTTGAGTATGATATTTTTATTTGTTTTATTTAGTGATATTTTAATTCATAAAAAAGTGATTTTAATTGGTTTTTTTTGATTTGTAGGATTCATGAAATAGAAAAGAAGTATTATGCAGATGGAGAAGATGCATATGCTATGAGAAAAGATTTGCAAACTAATACTAGTAGTAATATTATTTCAAGTAAATCTTGAAAGGAATCCATATTGAAATATTGATAATATTAATAATATAGATAGTATTAAAGTATTAAAGCTAAAATAATATATATATTTATTAAGGAAAAAAAACTCAAGAATTTGTTTTAACTTTTTATTGTTCATTCTTTCAACACTTCCAACCATTTTCTTTTCAGATATCCTTCATCAAATTGTTTTCAACATAGGTTTTATATGTTGGAATAATTTAATTCAAATTTGATAGAATTTTTTATGAGCTTTAAATGCATGATGATTATTTTTTTAGATGGAATCCAAACTAGATCTTTTTAAATGAATGAATTAATAAATTAATAAATCAATAAATCAAAATTCAATCCATAAAATCCTTACTAACCATTATCATTTTACCTTTATCATAGAAAAGAATTGCATCACTCTACTTGCCATTTACAACCATTTGAATTTTTTTATCAATCAATTTCAAATTTGGTATTTATTGAATCATGAAATCTAACATCCAAAAGTAAAAGACCAGCTGCCTCCTCATCATTTTTCAATATTACAAAAGTCAACATTAGCTGAAAGTTTTGTAGATTGGAATACTTGTTAGAAATTAACATTGCAATTAAAGTTCGATATCAAAATTAGCATGCTGAATCGCAATTAAAGTGCTAGGTTGCAATGAAGTTGCTACTAATTAATTTAATTGTATATAAGAAAGTCAGATTCGGCGTATTTGTAAAATAACTTTTGTATTAAAGTTTAATAAACTTTAACTTTGTAAGAAGTTAATAAATTAACTTAGAAATATCTTAATAAATTAGTTTGACTAAATAAAACGCCACAAAACAAATTATTTACTAATAATAAAACTAATCCGTTAGTAATTCTGACACATGATCATAAATTTATATTGTTGTCATCCAAATAATAATAATCGATGACAATATTAACAGCTTGATTTTTTTTTCTTCTATTGAAAAGTGAGTAATTTTGAATAAGAATCTAATAAAGTTGTAATAATTATAGATGCTGGTCGCAATTCTTGGTGATGGTTGCAACCATATTTGCGACCACTTTGGTTTCCTTTTTTGGATTGCGACATGGAACACTAGTAATAATGGTAGGTTTATCTATAATTGTCCAATAATCTTTTAATTTTTTATGTATAGAATTTGCCATTATACATTCTTCAGTTGAATAATTTTGATTTTCTATATATAATTCAATACTTCTTCCCACTTATTATTATTAATTTTTCTAACATTAAAAATATGCTATTGCATCTAATAGCAACATCAAGATCATGCTTATAATAATTTTTTTTATCTCTTTAGAATAATCTCATAACTCATCACAAAAATTTGTTGATTCATTTACAAACTTTCTTACTTTGTCAATAATAGGAACTCTTAATCCCATTCCATGATTTATTGCCAAATTTAAAATATCTATAATGATGAAAACCACAATTTTCACAAGTTGTTTTCTTCAATTCACGCAACATAAGATTACTACAACTAATCATTTTTGCATCATGATCTGTGCAAGGACTTTATCATTAAGATACATTTCATTAATTAATTGAAAAGCTTTTCTTAATTCTCATAGCAGTATGTTCATGTTCAAACTAAATTAAATCAAGAAGATATAAAAATTCGTTGAAACGCGATTACTAATCGCGTTTCAACGAATGTTGAATAAAATTTTCTTATATGTCCAGCCACTTCGTTGAAACAAGGGCAGACTGCATATTTATACCAAAATATGCTTGATTTGATATTGATGTCCAAATATCTGCAGTTAATGATACTTTTACTGTGAGCTTTGATAATTCTTTTGCAATTAAATTATCAAATTTTTGATAAATTTGATTTTGTAATATTGATGTGTTGGTAAGATATATCATGAATCAACAACGTTGCACAGTTTTTTAAACCTACAGTGCAGGACACCTAATCCCGCAACTTACTGCGCCACGACGACGAATTTTGGGAAAAAATTTCCAATCAAA